TCAGTAGGGCATTAGAAAGATCTAGAGGAAAGAACATGCGTGCAACAATATTGGAATGTCCAGTGTTTCAGGTACTACACTAGCTGTGAGACCAGGACGGATGAGATGGAGTCTCAGTATGATTATTCTTTTTCCTGTTTGTTGCGATAGGATCTCACTGTGTCACCCAAGCTGGAGTGCAGTGGCAACATCATGGCTCACTGCACTTTTGATCTCCAGGCTCAGGTGATCATCTCACGTCACATTCCCAAGTAGCTGGGACCATAGGTATGCACCACCACATCTGGTTAACTTAAAAAACTTAAAAAAAAAATTATTTTTTGTAAAGAAGGGGTCTCACTATGTTACCCAGGCCGGCCTCAAACTCCTGAACTCAAGTGATCTTCCCACCATTGCTCCCAAAGTGCTAGGATTACAGATGTGAGCCACCTCGCCCAGCCCTAAGTCTCTGGATGACTAAGAACAAAGTCTCCGGGGTGGGGGTGGGGGGTCTGATCATGCCAGGCCACATGTGCTTCAAAGTGAAACCCAAAGCCACTTTCTGCCTCTTTCAGGAAGCACTGCTCTTCGAATGGGTCATATGAGGGAACCTCGTTTGGAATACAAAAATGCCGTTGATGGGACAGTGTTTGGAAGTGAATTTGTAGAAGAGATGGGGAAAGGGCAACGTTATTTTCAGAAGTGAGGCTTCATCCGCTTTGGTCAGTCCATCAGTGAACCATCAGAGCGATGCTGTTGTCTGACCAAACATTGGAACAGACAGCAGAAACCAAAGGTCTGTCACTTACAGAAATGGCCTAAGGTTTCCCTAACCTGGCTGTCATCATGCACTGACTTAAACATGTTAATAAAATGAACACTTCAGGAGCTCCAAAGCAGAAACTCCAGTGTTAAGAGGTGATGGGAAGGAAAATTGCTGCTTTTTGGATAGGCCGGGGGAGTATTGATTGACGTCCCAGAATGTGATGTGGGATTGCGGAAAGGACATTAGCTCTGGAGTCACACACATGTTCTTCTCCATCCTTCCTCTGCCACTTACCAGCTGTGGGCCCCTGAGGGAAGTTCCTTCTCTGAGGTCAAATTTCCCACAAAAGAGGATGTCCACTGAGTGAGAATGAAAGGAAATGGAAGTGCCTGATAGACGAACAGGCTTCAGTCAATGAGTTCTATTATTGATAAAAGAAAATAGATTAAGGGGGAAATTTAACAATGGCAAATCGACAATTCTACTGTATATAAAAGAAGCATGTGGTAAGAGGTAATACATAAAATGTTTATGTAGTCTTATCAGAAACATGACATTTGAACCCAGGAGTCTCCTAAAGCTGTTATGGATGAGATCAATTATAAAAATAGGCACACACCATATATGGTAGGATCACATGATGCTATAAATGGAGACATATGCATATGAATAATTAATGGCTAATTTTAGGTCACAAAATGTCCAGTGCAGAACAGAGACTTTTCACTTTGCTTGCCAGTCTGCTGCCTCTAAACATTTGAAATGGACTCAAATTGACAGGGGCAGTTTGGAATTTGCCTTTGACATGAACCGCTTCCTCTGGGTTTATACAGGTAAATTGGGGTGCCAGCCCTTTCTGGTTCTGTTACTGAAGAAATTGATGGTTGTTTGAGGAAGGCTAAATGGTCAAGCATGTAACAATTGGGTAATTATAAGAACCACCAAAAAATCAAGTAAAGGTTTGAACTTTTACAGGGTTGTATAAACTCTCACCTATAATACTACTCACAGGTTTTTTCCCGTAGGGGAATTTGGCTATGATAAAGTAGCCTTGAATGACAAAGTAGAAAACACTAAAGGAATGTCTAACAATTTTTCACTTCCCTCTTCCTTAATATTAGCTTTATATCATCCAAATAACAAGTATTCAATTTGTAGTCTATTCAATTAAATAATTATTGAGCCCCTATTGTATACAAGGCATCATTCTGGGTGCTGGGGATGTAACAGCTGATAGAATCATCAGCAGAAGTTTCTCTGGAAAGATAGGAAAGTTTTTGCTTTGTGAGCCATAGGGTCTCTGTGTCAGCCAGTCAGCTCTGCTGTGGTCACATGAAAGCAGCCATAGGCTGGCAGGGCCCAGCAGCTCATGCCTGTAATCCCAGCACGTTGGGAGGCCGAGCTGGGTGGAATGGATCACCTGATGTCAGGAGTTTGAGACCAAACTGGCCAACATGGTGAAACCTCATCTCTACTAAAATTACAAAAATTAACCGGGCATGGTGTCAGGCACCTGTAATTCCAGCTACTCAGGAGGCTGAGATGGGAGGACAGCTTGAACTCTGGAGGCAGAGGTGGCAGTGAGCAAAGATCGTGCTATTGCACTCCAGCCTGGGTGACAGAGTGGGACTCTGTCTCAAAAAAAAAAAAAAAAAAAAAAAAAAAAAAAAGGGGGGAGGGCGCGGGATAGGGGGCACCTTTCAAACTTTGGATATATTGTTGATCCAGATACCAAGCAACTAAAAACTGTAGGAAGAGATGTGAAACCTGTTTCGGTAACAAAAAATGAAACCGCCCCCCAACCACGGACATTTTATATTATGCCTTGAGCTTAAATATATATATATTTCCTGGATTGCATAACATACCATGATATATCAATTTCATTTTGAAAAATACATGTATTTAATAATTTGATTACAAAAGTATGTGTTATAAAAAATTTAAGTACAGAATAAGTATAAAATTCTAAAAAGTCTCAGTTCACCATACACAGAGGTAATATATCTGCCTTAAAATTGTGTTCCATCTCTCATTTTTTATGCATACATATTAAAAACACAGCTTCCTTTTGACATAGCTGGGACCATCCTTACATAGTTAATTTTAAAAATCTTGCTTTTTCTACTTAATCATGTTATGATTCTCTCTCTTCACCCTTACTGTTCAACAATTTTTTTTTTTTTTTCTTGGAAACGGAGTCTTGCTCTATCACCCAGGCTGGAGTGCAGTGGTGCGATCTCAGCTCACTGCAACCTTCGTCTCCTGGGTTCAAGCAATTCACCTGCCTCAGTCTCCCAAGTAGCTGGGATTACAGGTGCACGCTGCCACACCGAGCTAATTTTTTTGTATTTTAGTAGAGACAGGGTTTCACCCTGTTGCCGAAGCCAGTCTCGATCTCCTGAGCTCAGGCGATCCACCAGGCTGTTGCTCAACAGTGTTTAATGTCGTCGTAAAAGCTTCACACAGATACACCATAATTCACTGAACCCTTCTTCCACTGACAGGTATCAGGCTTTTCTCCGTTTTTCTGCGTATACAATGGTATAATGGCAATTCCTAAACGTTGCAGTTAGTGTGTCTCTCTGATACTTTCCTTAGGATACATTTCTAGAAATTAAAATTCTAGACCCAAGTACAGTTTTAAGGTTTTGCTACCTATTGTCAAACTGCTACGTCCTTTCTGGAGAGAAATGTATATTCCCAATGGCAGTGTGTGAGAATGTTTATTTCATGTTAATCCTCAGCTTCATACGGCTGTAATATTTGTACATTTCTCATTGTTACACATGGCTGATTTTTGCTCTGATTTGTGTACTTTTAAAATACATTACCAGTGAGTCTTTGATGACTGCTTCATGTTTCTTGGAGGTATTTCATTCCTGTATCTAGAGTTTTCAACTTTTGAAAAAAATGACTCCTAAGAGCCCTGCATATTGTTATATTTTTACTAATGCTTTCTTGCTGGTTTAATTTAAGGTTAAGTTTTTCCGATCCACAATGGCAGAGACATTGTTCTCCCTCCTGCAATTTCACCAGTTAAAAAATTAACTAAAAAAATTCAGGCAGTCCTGGCACGGTGATTCATGCTTATAACCCTAGCACTAGGGGATGCCAAGGCGGGTGGATCACAAGGTCAGGAGTTCAAGACCAGCCTGGCCAACACAGTGAAGCCATATCTTGACTAAAAATACAAAAATTAGCTGGGTGTGGTGGTGGGCGCCTGTAATTCCAGCTACTTGGGAGACTGAGGCAGGAGAATCACTTGAACCCGGGAAGCGGAGGTTGCACAGGGCCAAGATTGTGCCACTGCGCTCCAACCTGGGTGACAGAGCTAGACTCTGTCTCAAAAAAAACTGAGGGAGAGGGAAACACGGCATCTAGAAAAACAGTATCAATTCTCTATCCCAAAACAGGTGATGGCGCCCGGGGAAGCCTATTCCCACAGTTAAAAGTTCTGTCAGGAAGTTGTCCAGAGCCACAAGTTCAGACCTTACTCTGCGGCCTCTCTGATTGAAATGCAAAGTCTGTTTCCTAATTAACTCAGAACTTGTTTGATTTTGATTTTGGCTTTTTAAACACCCCAGTGGAGCCCAAGTGAGAAGCTTAAAAGGACACAGCAGAGAAGGGTGGGCCCCTTCTCCCAGTCCATTTGAAAAGACGTTGCATCTTCATACACCTGTCTTCTGTGCGGGTCTTCTGGGGTTGGCAACCCTTTAAGTGGGCACCAAACCTCAGCTTGCATTTATTTTCATTTTCAGACATACCACTGTTTAGACGAAGGAAAGCTGTCTATCACAGATGTTAAACAATCGGTGGTGTAATGACTCTGCAACTGTGGTTTCCACCCTGGGTGTGGTATGGTGTGTGCACATTTACACAACTTCTTTGGCAACAGAGTCGCTTAGAAGGATGCTCTGATGTGAGCAGATTTTCTGCCGAGACAAAAAAATATAGTTGAGGGTTTTTTCTCTCCCTTTCACAGTTCCTGTCTACCAACCCCTGGCAGAAATCACCATTTCTTTGGCGAAGGAATGCTACTTTCCAAAATCCTTTGGCAGAATCTCCTAGAGAGTTGTTTTTCTGCTTCCTAATTTAGAAAGTCTTCAAAGAAAAAAATTTAAAAAACTTGACAAATTAATGTGAGAAGAAACGAACTGTGATATAATTTTGCATTTCTTTCATGAAAAGTTTGAGTTTATCTATAACCAATAAAATTGAACAAGATAATCTTGGGGAGAAAAGTACATAAAATCAGGATCGGACTGTTCTTTATTTTGGGTCAATAAGTAACATGTGATATAAACTCAAGATTTTATTAAAATATCATTTGTAAGTGAAATTAACATATCTCGGGGGTGAAGGAAGACTTTTATAAAGCAAAATAATGAGTTACGTGAATCAACAGAAAGAGTGAAAAGTATTAACAGTGACATTTAAATGGTTACATGACTTTAATTATTCTTTGGATAATAAGCCCTGGTGATGTCTATTCAAGAAAAGCCTGTGCCCACTATGGAATTTGCAGTTGAATAAGAGCTTTGTTCTATGCTTTCGGTAACTTAAAAGCAGCAAATGGAAACGGTTTAAAGACCTTATAACAATCTCCCACCTACCAGAAGAATCTAAAAGGTAAGGTGGGAAGCATTAGAAAGAGTGAAAAGAAATATTAAAAAGGCCACACGCACATGGCATTTATTTGAGAGACAGAGCAAGAGAGAACGAAGTGCTGGAGAGAGAAGGTGCTGGAAGGCCACCTGATGCCAACCCCTTCCTTATCTGTTCTTGGCTGCCAGGGGTTTCCGGCTGATCTTTTTCGATTTGTCATTATTCTTCTTTGGTGGCTCTGGGTTGGCCTGCATGTGTCTGCCGTAGAGGCTGCAAAGACAGAGAAAGGAAACCATCAGATCTGTTTTGCCAGCGCAAGATGCGCTTTCATTGGAAGAGCTTTCAGGAATAGAACAATCTCCGGAAATACTCGGTAAGCCAAAGAAAACCAAAAGATCACTCGCGTGTTCTCTGGGTCATACACTATGAGGAATATAAAATTCTCTTACACACGTACGCCATGCCGTCCAACCATAGACCAGTCTCTTGGGATTTCACACTCACTGGGAGAACCAGTCAGGCCCAGCTCAGATGTTCTGGATGGAAGTTAAAAAGCTTGTGAGTGTTTTAAGTTGACAGTGGTAAAAACTGGGTTGCATGGAAGAAACAGAGTGTCCATATACTGAAAAGTGAGCATCAGGCTTGGCCCGAAAGCCCAGGGGCTGGGTGATGTGACAGAGAGCAATGGTGTCCAAATCTGCACTGGCTGCTCACCCATGATGGATGGCATGGGGCTGACTACCACACATCAATGCCATGTTAATAAGTATCGCTGATGAAATGCTGACAAAGTGCCCTGTAATTATGGTGGATGGCATTCGCTGCACAGTGAAGCTGGCTCCATCACTGAGAGGAGTTAACTGAACAGCAGAAGGTAATAAATCGATAATTTATGAGTGATTCTGATTAAACCAAATTAAAAGCCACCCTAAAATAAACACAGCTCAACCTTAGCTCCTTTTATGGATATAACTATACCTCCACGAGAGCCTGGGGGGTGTCTCAGGTCCTCCACGGCCAGGACATTACCGGGCTCCACAGCCTGTGGTTGCCCTGAACCAAGTGAAGGAGGGTTGGCACAGAGCCTGACGTCTCTACCAGGTGGCTCCAGCGCCAACATCCGCGCAAGGAATATACATATTCTCTGGATGCTGATCTCGTGGGCAGTTTAGTATATACTGGCATCTGGGTTTTTTTTTTTTTTTTCCCTGAGACAGTGTCTCACTCTGTTACTCTGTTGCCCAGGGTGGAGTGCAGTGGTGTGATTTTGGCTCACTGCAATATCCCCTTCGCTGGTTCAAGTGAGTAACTGGGCTTACAGGCACGAACTACCCTGCCCGGCTAATTTCTTATTCTTAGTAGAGACAGGATTTTGCCATGTTGGCCCGGCTGGTCCTGAACTCTTGACCTCCAGTGAGCTACCCTCCTAAAATGCTGGGATTACAGGTGTGAGCCACTGTGCCCAGCCAAAATATTCTTCATAGACATCGGGTCTCACTTTGTTGCCCAGGCTGGTCTTAAACTCTTGGCCCCAAGCACTCCTCCTGCCTTGGCCTCCCAAAGTGTTGGGATTACAGGGATGAGCCACCCTGCCTGGCCTGCAATAGTGGTATTCTGGATGTGACATTTGGGGCAGGGCTGGCACAGGGAACTGCCCAATTGATTCTGTGACCCAGGAAAGCTGGACACTGTGGTTTTGAGGGGCATGCTGTGTTCTAACTTCGCCCGTCTTCCCAGTGTCTTGGCGGTGGTACAAGCAGGTTGCATGCACAGTCACTCTCACAGAGTATAGAATGCAGGGTTCAGAGCTGGCCAGAGACAGACCCATGAGCCAGGGCGGGCACATGCAGCCAGGTGCTGGGACTGCTCTCCAGGAAAAGGGGAGGCCATTCTTTTGCATCAAGAAGGTTCCGTATGTCCTAGACAGAAAACATGAGAGCCTGCAAATTGGCTTTTCACTTCTTTTTTTTTTTGAGACGGAGTTTTGCTCTTGTTACCCAGGCTGGAGTGCAATGGCACGATCTCGGCTCACCGCAACCTCCGCCTCCTGGGTTCAAGCAATTCTCCTGCCTCAGCCTCCTGAGTAGCTGGGATTACAGGCACGCGCCACCATGCCCAGCTAATTTTTTGTGTTTTTAGTAGAGACGGGGTTTCACCATGTTGACCAGGATGGTCTCGATCTCTTGACCTCGTGATCCACCCGCCTCGGCCTCCCAAAGTGCTGGGATTACGGGCTTCAGCCACCGGACCCGGCCAGCTTTTCACTTCTCTAGAAATTAGTTTAGAGGCCTTTTTGCTGGTATAATGGAGACAGCAGCCCTGTTCTGCCCAGCCTTGCTGTGCCTTCTCTGAAGCCACAGGAGAAATATCTCAAGATAATCTGTTCCATAAAAGCGCATTTTTCAACCTATAGGGGCTCCCCCAACCTACACTTTTAAAAGGGTCAAGTCCCCCTGAAGATGAGGCCATGAGTACCTGGGGGTCCTAGGTCCTGGGTCCCAGGTAGGAGACCACTGGTTTAGACAGGGAGGAACCTTCAGTGGGCCCAACCTTCCCTCTGTTGCTGCCCCTAATTTCCAAAGATACCTGTATCTGAGTCCTTGAAACCTGGGAGGATGTTATCTTACATGACAAAAGGTGCTCTGGACGTTTCAAAGTTAAGGATCACCCCGCGCTGGACGGAAAGCTCACCCTGCGCTGGATGGAAAGGTCACCCCACGTCGGACGGAAAGCTCACCCTGCGCTGGATGGAAAGGTCACCCCGCGCTGGACGGAAAGGTCACCCCGCGCGGAACGGAAACCTCACCCCACGTTGGACGGAAAGGTCACCCCGCATCGGACAGAAAGGTCACCCCGCGCTGGATGGAAAACTCACCCCATGTCGGACGGAAAGGTCACCCTGCGCTGGACGGAAAGCTCACCCTGCATTAGCCGCGTGGACCCAACCACTTACTCCTTCTGGACATCTCTCCCAGACACAACAAACAGAGGAAAGTTGATGCCTCCATTCTGTTCATCCTGCATGCTCCGAAACACGCTTACTCCTCTAATAGCGTCTGCCCTTGTCCTGGGATGTTGATTTGCCCAGAGCCACTGGCACAACGCTCAGGGGCTTAACGCTGCAGAGGGTACACGCCGGAGGGCTGAGGTCTCTGAGCTCCTCTCTCCTGGCAGGAAGCAAGGGTCTGACTCTGTTCTGTGCCTTCACACAGGCACCTGTGGCCTCGGCAGCTTCAGCTACACTCACAGCTTCCTTACAGCCTCAGAGAGCTTTCCTCTATTTTCTGACCTGTTTTTCACACAGAGCAAAAAAATACATATGCACATTCTTATTCAAAGACAGTCTTCAACTTTAAGAATTCTTTTTCAGGTGGTGTCACTGTGTCGCCCAGCTGGAGTATGGTGGCACTATCTCAGTTCACTGCACCCTCTGCCTCCCAAATAGCTGAAATGACGGGCGTGCACGACCATGCCTGGCTAATTTTTGTATTTTAGGTAGAGATGGGGTTCCGCCACGTTGGCCAGGCTGGTCTCAAACTCCTGACCTCAAGTAATCCACCCAACTTGGCCAGCCAATGTTCTGGGATTCCAGGCATGAGCCATGCACCCAGCCTCCAAAGTTTCAGGATTCTTAAAGTCAACAGAAAGATGACTCCACAGTTCATGCACCTGGAAACATAGCAATACCCGAGTGCAAAGAAAGGGTCTTGGCAATGATACGAGGTCAGCAGAGGGAGAGGAGCAGTCAGAGCTGAGACGAATTGACAAGAAGCTGCTTTGCCTCAGGTTTTAAATGAGGGAAGCGCTGAGGTGGGGGTGGGGGGTTCCCAGAAGGGGCCGATATTCACCTGGGCCCTGAGGATGGGAATTCAGGCAAGCGATTTCAGAAGGGGTTGCAAAAGCTGCAGGGCTCTTCTCTGTTTTCGGAGAGAACTGGAATGTTTCCGTCTCTGCCTTTTTATATTCTGATCCCACTGATTGTGTCTGAATATCCTGGGGCTTCGGAGCAAGTCACTACAAAGGGCTAGGTGGGAGCCAGTGGCCCCGAACTTCCTGTTCAAATCCCGCTTTAGATGTTTATTAGCTGTTGACTCTGGGCAAGTCATCAGCAATGTTCGCCTCCCTCGCTGTGCCTCAGTTTCTTTATCTGTAAGCTAGAGATAGCGTTTGTCTTCCTTGCAGGGCGGTTCGGTAAGCCTGCCACCAAGGCACACCTACTGGAATCAGTGAGTGAAGGCTTGTTGAAAAATAGGGCAGACGGGGCGGGGGGCGGTTTACAGTCCAGAGTGATTAAATCCATATAATTACATGATGACCGTCCTTCTTTAGGGCTGTTTCCCCTGCAAAATAACAGTATTTTCTATCAACGCGAAATCCCCAAACACCTCTGGAACAAAGGGTTTAATCCTCTTTGAAGGAAGCACCTGAGGCAGAGCTAAATGCATCACCCCACTTCCTCAGTGAGTCATCGGCAGGGCTGCATGACGCTGCTGTCCGCCGCACGATCCTTTAACTCCTCCAGCTGTGTGAGCAGATGCGAGTCGGTGTTTCACTAAGTGGCCATAAGTGGCCATTTTCACGGGGACGTGGCTGTGGCAGTGCAGTCTCAACAAGATGTAAAGTCTGGTGTTGCTACTAGTTCTGCTAGTTTATGAGCCACGGGGCCTCAAGTAAGGGTGGTGGACAGAATAATGCCCTCCCCCCCGCCCCCGAAATAGCCACATCCAATGTCTGAAACCTGTGACTGTTAATTTACATGGCAGAGGGGACTCTGCAGCCGTGACTTAGTTAAGAACCTAGATGATCCCGTGGGCTCAGTGTCATCAAAAGGTTTCTTAAAAGAAAGAGGCAGGAGGGGCCAGGTGCAGGGGTACACATCTGTCACCCCAGCACTTCAGGAGGCCAAGGCAGGAGGACTGCTTGAGGCTGGGAGTTCCTAAGCAGCCTGGGCAACATAGAGATACCCTATTTCTACAAAAAGCAAAAAAAATGTAGGCAGGTGTGGTAGAGCATACCTGCAGTCCCAGCGAGTTACTCGGGAGGCTGTGCTGGGAGGATCGGTTGAGTCAGGGAGCTTGAGGCTGCAGTGAGCCATAATCACGCCACGGCACTCTGGCCTGGCAACAGGGCAAGACCCTGCCTCTAACAATCAAAAAGAAAAACAGGAAAGAGGGTCAGAGTGAAAGATTTGAAGACGTTACCCTGCACCCTCTGAAAATGGGAGGAAGAAGCCATGAACCAAGGAACACGGTGGTCTCTCTAAACCAGAA